CGCCCGGCCCGCCTGCGCCCCGCACCCGTCAGGCACCCGCCGGGTGGGCGGGGGGACCCAGGCGGCCCTCGTGGGGATCCAGGCGGAGGATGGGAGGCTGAGGTGTCCGGACGAGGGACCCAGGTGGCAGGGAGGGGACCCAGGGGGCCAGGAGGGCACCCAGGCAACAAGACAAGGGACTCGGGCAGATGGGAGGGGACACAGGTGGCTGGGAGGGGACCCAGATGTTGGAACAAGAGACCCAGGTGGCTGGGAGGGGACGAGGTGGCCAGGAGAGGACAGAGCCATCAGGACAAGGGACCCAGGCAGGCAGGAGTTGACCCAGGTGGCCAGGAGGAGGACACAGGCATCAGGACAAAGGACCCAGGCGGACAAGAGGGGACTCAGATGTTGGAACAAGGGACCCGGGTGACCAGGAGGGGACCCAGTCCAACAGGACAAGGGTCCCAGGTGGCTGGGAGGAGACCCAGGTAGCTGAGAGGGGAGACAGGTGCCCCAGGGGGGACCCAGGCATCCAGGGGGGACCCAGGTATCGAGGGGGACACCCAGGTATCCGGGGGGGGACGGACACCCAGGCGTCCGGGTCCATACCTGCCAGCTGTCACTGAGGTCCTTCACCTGCTGCTGCAGCTCCGTCAGCGACTTGACGGCCTCGGCCTCGCGCAGCGCCAGCGCCTGCAGCTCCTCCTGCAGCCGCACCACGTTGTCCTCGTCCGGCAGCAGGCTGTTCCTCTGCGGGGACACGGGGGACATCGGTGGGGACACCCCAGGGTGGGGACACGCCGGGGCGGGGGCATCTGATATCGGCGGGGACATCCCGGGGCAGGGACATCCTGGGGCAGTGGCACCGGACGTCGGCAGGGACATCTCGGGGCAGTGACATCGCGGGGCAGTGACACTGCATGTCATCAGGGACACCTCGGGGAGGTGGCACTGGTCATCGGCAGGGACACCCCAGGGTGGCGGCACTGGGGGTTCATCCCCCTCTGCCAGGTGGAGGTGGGGACACTCATGGGGCATTGCGGGAGATGATGGAGGACACCGGGGACAGAGGATCTCCCAGGGACACGTGGCACCGGGGATCCCCAGGCACAGGGGGAACCCCTGGGGACACTTGTGTGGCACTGGGGATCCCCAGGGACAGGGGACACCAGGTCCAGGACCCCCCAGGGCCCCTTGTATGACACTCCCTGTCCCCAAGGCCACTTGTGTGACACTGTCCAATCTCAGGGCCACTCGTGTGACCATCCCCGTCCCCAAGGCCACTTGTGTGACACTCCCCATCCCCAGGGCCACTCATGGGACCATCCCCGTCCCCAAGGCCACCAGCGTGACACCCGCGAGCTGTCCCCATCACCTTCTCCATGTCGAGGACTTTATCCTGCATCTCCTTGAGGGCGCCAAGGGTCTCGCTCTCCCGCAGCCGCGACTGCTCCAGCTCCGTCTCCAGGTGGGTGACAAACTCCTCGCTGAAGCGTGGGTTCCCCTGCCACCGTCCCCAGTGTGTCACCCGCGGGGCACAACACCCGCTGAGCCCGTTCCCCCCCCCCCCCTT